ATTAGGAAAAGGGGAACTTCGAGTATGATATGCTGTTGTCAAATAAACTTTAAAATTGATTATTTGCTTGATCGTTTTAAGTTCAATTATGCTTTATCAAAGGGAAAGGAAAAGGAAATCAATTTCAGTTTTATTGAATCAAAAAAAGGAGAAGGAAAAAGTTGAAAAAGGAAAACTTCAGGTATGGTATAACTTTTTGCAACCAAACTTTGTCAAATAATTTACAACCTAAAATTAAAACTAATAACTTTTCAAAAGTTTCAGTTTATTATCATTGAAAAATTTTGTTATTTTGTTAAAAAATTTTTGTAAATATCCAAAAAAAAGAAAGGAAAAATAAAGATACAAAAGGTATGCCAATCAATTTTCAGCCATACATTAATTATAATTTGTACTTTTCATATTAATTGCTGCTTACTTGTTGTTTGTAAAGGCACAATCGTGATAAAAATTTTAGTTAATTTGGAAAGAGAAATTAATTTCTCAAATTATTAGGCTTTAATATCAATTGATGATAATACTTACGCAGCTATATGTGGTGTAGAGCTGTGACTTCGTCCTTGGCTCAATTGTACTCTTCGAATGCTTGAACGAATAGTTGGGAAATTATCGTCGTACGATTGCGCTCCTCGTTTCTATAATTTTTTTCTTTTTATTTTGAAAACTAACGTTTTAATTAATTTTTTGTTAAAGGATAAATACTTTAATAGTAATATCAAAAAAGATGTTACTATTTTTTCTTTTTTTTAACTTTGATAAACATTCATTGTACTTATTACTACTTATTATATATTAGACAAAAATAAAGTGAAGAATTTTCCAGTCATTAACAGCCTTAAATTCTTTTCTTTTTCTCCTCCCAATTGAATGAATTGATGCAAACACTTTAAATTATATTTTCCTGTTCTTTTTTTTTTCTGATATTATCATTTTTAATAAATATACATTTGGGAGGAAGATATCAATCTTTTGGAATGTAACTTTAATTGTAATATTCCGGAAGGAAATGAGAAACTTTTGAAAAGTCAAATAAAAGAGTTTCCCATCAGTTATACTTAAAGTTTATTTCCCTAAGGGTTTAAAAAAAAATAGATAACAAGAAACTTCCATGTAAATAATGCTTGCTGCTTTTTTTTGTTTTTCCTTTTTGAAAGGAAATTTATGCAACGAAAATTATTCTAATATAAATTTGAATTTGTAAACTATACAAAATCCAAGTTTGCAATGCAGAAACTAATGATTGCGCCCTTTAGCAAACAATGATTAATTATTTAATTAGTAGAATTCAAGAATTTTCAATTTCCATCCCATCATTTCATTTGTTTATTACAAACTCTTTTATCTTTTACTGCTTCAACAAAATAGACAAATTTATTCATGCATCTTAAACTTTTCTTACTTTGCTTACAGTACGTGCAAAGCCTGCAATACCATTGCTTTTATTTTTTTTTATTCTGGGGACATAAAAAAGTTATAACACTAAATGTAACTTCCTCTGGGGCCAATGGTACCTCGTTTTCAGATTTCAGATCTTCTTTTGTTTTTTACGCCATTTTATTACTACGAATCCAATAATGGAAATTTGTTTGATGGAGTAAAAAAATTTTTACTTTGTTAATTTTTTATTTCAATTCCCTCCTGGATGAGCTTGCAGAAACAAAAAATTATATTTTTAGAATCATCCAATAATCACGAATTTCATTATATCATTAGATATAATTAACTTCTTGACCAAATTGCTAAAATCTCGTAATATTGATTTAATTAGCTTCATAAATTTATGCATCAAAATTTTTGTAAAATGCAACAGGTAAATTTCTAAATTCTAAGTTCAAGTTTTACAAATCAGTTATTCAAATAATTGATAAATATTACCAATTCAGTATTTTGAAAATTGAATTGACGTTCAGGATTTTCCGAATTATTCATCAATTTTATCATTCTTGGAGATGAATTTGCTGTTGTTGGCGCTGTTTGCGACAAGGATAATATCTGATTAGGTAAAACTGGTGTAGGTGGTAAACGTCGTCCACTTCCAATATGCATAATCGGTTTTCCTTGTATATATTCATAAGATTGAAATTGATTAGATTTTTTCATTGTCTAAACAACATTTAATCACTAATTAATTATCACTGGTATATTTATACTATTCCTAGCAAATATGCATAATATTATACAGCTCATTATCAAATGATAATTCGCTAACAAAAAGTATTATACAAATTGATTTGCATAATTGTGTAAAAAAAATAAAAATTAATGCTTCAAATGAATGGTAGGAAGATATTAAAAAAAAAAATTAATTCCTAAAATGCAAATAGAGAGATTTGGATGATGAAACAAAAAAAAAGAAAAATAAATAGACCGATCGATTTTTTAGAGCGATGTAATAATTGCATTAAAAATTCGTAATTAGCTAATATATATTTCGATCGTATTTATGAACAAAAGATGACATGTCAACATTAACTATTTGTTTGCTATTTCATATTTACTCGTTTTTTATATTTGTCCTTTTTACGATTTGTTTTTTTGAGGAATATTGATTTTTCATATTTGTTTATTTGTTTATAAACAAGTATTTTTGTTATTTTTTTCAAAAAAAAGGAAATGTAAAAATTTTTTTTTGCAATTCTTTCTTCGCTTTTTTTTTATTTCTTTTTTAATTTGACTGACAAAATAAGTTATTTGTTTTTTTATTTTCTAGGATAAATCTTGTTTTCTTGCATGAAATTTTTCAATTAAGGAATAGATAAAAGTTATTTTATCATTTAAGTCAAACATATTTAAACAAATACAAAAACAGATTAACAATGAGACTGTATGGGTGAAATATTCATAAGCATGAGGTAGTTAAGGAAAATTTATGCCTAATTTTATTAAATTAGTTCTTTTCCGAAACATTAAAAGAAGTAAGTGAAAGTGAATCAAGCATATTTGTTGATATATCTTAATCAAAAAAATAACTTCTCGGATGTAAATGAGGCATGTTATATTGCAAACATTTTAAAATGCTTAAATTAACCAAAGAAGAAAACGAATGTAATTAAGCGCATTTGTTATCCGATCAGTATTTTAAAATGCTCTAATTAAAATTAAAAAAGAAAAAAAATTACTAACATTTGAAAATGCTTGAATTAGGAGAAAAAAAATCTTCAGAACTTGAATAAGGTACATTTGTTTACATTAGCAAGGTTTAAAAATACTTTAATTTGATATGACATGAAGTTTGATTCTTGCAAAGTCACATCACTGCTTATGAAATATGAAACTGCTGATGAAGTGATCAAAATATGCTCCAAAAAAAATATTTGAAATCATATTTGTAATTTGAAATTACACGATTCTTACTAGTATTAGCTCAAATTATAAGGTATTAACATTATTCCGAACCTTTTAAATGATCAAAAATCACAGTTTTTGTATTAATGATCTGTAAACATTTTGCATTTAAACTTACTTATACTTGAAAAGGTTGACAGTCATATGTTTACGAATGTAAGTTAGCAGCAACAATTCAGAAATAACTTGATGAGAAATAATTATCAAGTCAAAAAAAAACGGGTAGAAGACTATGGAATTCTTGAATTTCAAGATTTCTTTATAAGCTTAAAAGCAATATGACCTAATGAAGATGTTGTTTGTAGCGTAATATTTGAATAAATGATGAATAAAAAACAACTGATGGAATTTAAAAAAGAAAAATTTCATTTTTGCCAATACCACTTAATGTTTCAATTCAGAAAAAAAAACAAAACAAGAAAACGGAAATCAAATTTGAATGATAACTGCGATAATAATAATAGTGATAACAATAATAATAACGATAATAATAATAATAATAATAATGATAACAACAAAAATTGCTGTACTTATTTTTAGTATACTACACTTTTTTAAAGGCTTTCTTTTTTTATCAATCTTTTTTATTAATTATTTTCCAATCTTTCTAATTTTTTTCCAAATACTTCAAATTTTTAATTAAAATGATTTATTTTGCATTCAACAATGCAAAAATGTTGCTGGAATTATTTTTAGCATATTAAACTTTAATTTCTCTTTTTCTTGCAATCTTTTTAATTAATTACTTCCGAATGTTTTTAATTTTTTACAAAGTATCCTGTATTTTGAAGTAGAATAAGTAGTTATTTTATATTCATAATATAAAAAAAAGAAATGAACGGATTAAAAATCACCTCAAACTCTGCTAACTTAAAAGTACAAGGATCAAAGATCGTTTATTATTAAAACTTTCCCGAATAGCTTTTTTTTCCATTTTTATCGAAGTAAAAATTAATTATTTTAATTACTTCTTAAAACTACTATCACTATATACCATCTTTTTAATTTGGTAATGAAAAAGAGGAGGATTTTTTCTTTAATTTCATATTTGATAATGGAAAATTTCGGATTTATTTTTCAAATTTAGCATTTTAATAAGCAAATGAAAAGAAGAGAGATATTAATTTATCTAAAATTTTTCATCTTTGTTTTTTTTTCATCTTCTTTCTCGTCCATCTGTTGAAAAGAAATGCTTATTTTTAGAAACTTGGGATTAATTGAAATTCCATAAGTGTGAGAAACTTAGAAGGACATATGAAACTCTTAAGCTATGACAAAAAATTTTCATAAATCAATAAAACTTCTGCAAAAGCTAATTTTTTTTCAGAAATTTCAGTCATTTCATCTACTGAAAGTACTTTCACTTTTCGTTTCAATATTTTTTTTAGTGACATTTATGCAAATTGAAGTTTTTACAAACAAAATTTTATGGATATAAATAAAAAGAATCTGAAATGGTATACTGTATTCCATGAAGGCTATTACAGTAAGCAAATTAATTTTACAATAAACTTCCTGGGTCTTCATTTTCTTGTGTCGTTGTATTAGTGATTAATTTTGCTTATTTCATTATTTTATTTTATTTTTTCCAAAATTCTTTCAATGTTTTAACATAGATTTTGTTTTCATTTTAGCATTTAACATTTGATATGATTAATTTAATTAGCTGAAAAGGGAAAAATATGCATTTGAACGAATAATTTATTGCAAAAAATTAGAATGTTATCATGCAAAAAACATTACAAACTTAACATTATTGCTAATTGATATAACATTTCATCATCATCAATCAAGCTAATTGATGAATTACATCTTCATGGGTTTGTATTTTGATTAAATAATATAATTCTGAAGACAAAAAGACGACGATAAAAACTGATGAATTGTTATTGCTATAAAAATAATTAAAAATTATTGGGAAAAAAAATTAAAAAAAATGAAAAAAAAGTGCTAAGAAGATCAGGAAAGTTAAAACAAAGAATGATGAGAAGATCAAAAGGAATTTTCCAGAAAAACGACTACAATTTCAGGTTTTGAATTTTGTTAAAATCCAAAGAAAACAAAAAAAAAAAAGAAAACGAATTTTGCTAAAGCTCTTGAAAAACAAGAAAACATTGAATATCCTTCTTCTTATTTCATTTGAAGTTTTTTTTTTCGTCAACTAATACTTGCAAATAATTGTATAAGCAAAACTGAGATTGTTATGGATCATTTACCTGCCAGGTAACAGCATTTTCCTTCGAACATATCCTTAACTAATTGCACATTATACTCAATTTTTTTATTTTTTTTCACTCGATCAATTATATTAAATTGAACGTGAATTAATGAAAAACAGAATGAAAAAAGCTTTCAAAAAGATACACAATTTGTGAAAAACATTGCTGATTGGGAAGTAAAGTTTGACAAAAGAAAGATATCACTAATGAAGTATTCGTTTAATTAGTAATTTAAAAATCTAATTTACTTAAATTATTATTGATAATTTTAGACTCTTTCAAACACTTGAAAATTATTTTGATTATATGCTTAGTATGAAAATTAATTTTTTTTCTAAATACACAAAGGAAAAAATTGGAAATGTGTATAACT